GGTCCAGCGACCCTTAGGCCAAGGACTTGTACCTTCCCCATAGTCAGGATACTCTGCCACTGCATCTGACAGTGAACTGTGTTTTCAGGCAAACTATCAGAACTCTTCTATGTGACCAGTGGGGAGGAAGCGTACTTGTACTCCTGATCCACACTAATTCCATGCACCTGCTGATTCCCAGTCAGAACACCTCATGCACAACCATCAGTCTTTTAGAGAAGTGTGTTCTTATGACATTGAACACTTTGGGCGTGTTGTCTGAAGGAATCTGCAGGAGTCACTGGACAAGGACCCTAGGGAAGGTCATGCTTGGAAAAGTGAAGTGGCAGCGAGAGAGGGAGACCTTCAGGAAGATAGACTGATAGGGTGGTTGCACTCGTGGGCTTATGTACAGCGGGGATTGTGAGAATGGCTCAGAATAGAGTAGGGTTTGGTTTTGTTGTATGGGGTTATTGTTGTATTATTATTTATTATTTAGTTAGTTATTGTATTATTTTTATGTTATTGTTATGGGTCAGAACCAATTGAGTGACACCTAACAACTACAACGTGACACTGAACAGGCTTCCATGAAGGATCCCAACTAAATCAGACTCAGAAGAAAGTCCTGATGGTCAACTTCAGAAAAGTCATCCAATGAAATCTCTATGGGTTATAATAGTCCAACCTCATTGCTCACAGGGTCACAATGAGTTGGGGAACAGTTCAGTTACAGCTAATATACTAAAATGACATTGAGCAAATATACAGAATATATTAATTATACAGTTACTGTTTTTGTTTGTTCCAAGTAAATACCTGTATGGTCCTTTGCACTTAACTTTGAGACGAAAACAGTACCCAGTTCATTGGGCTCAATGAGATAATTTATATAGTGTATGCATTTAGTCCAGTACCTGCCACAAAGCAGAGATTCCTTACATTTATTTTACAGGGTCAGTGATGCATGTTTGGGACCCTCCATCCTTTGACCTACTTCCTTCTTTCAGGCCTTTCATATCATCAGTTCTGTTTAGTCATGTATTCACCTTACAAAGAATGGCCATTCCCACTTGAACTTAGCTTTGAGACTTAGTATGCTCATGATTCAGGTGAAAACAGTACCCAGTTCATTGGGCTCAATGAAGATTAAATGAGATAATGTGTATAGTGTATGTAGTCCAGTCCCTGCAACATAGCAGAGATTCCATACATTCATCTTACAGGGTCAGCAATGCATCTCTCGGCACTTCTATCCTTTCATCTCTTTCTTTCAGGCTTTCCATGTCCACTGTTCTATTTGATCATGTATTCGCCTCACAAAGAAGGGTCATTCACATTTGCACATGGAACCATTATTGTTTAACTTCTTCCAGGATCATGTTCCTTTTTAGGTTTTTCTCTAATTGTGGAATGAAAGGTTTCAGTTTGTAAGGGCAACACTAGATTGTTGTTGTTGCTGTTGTTGTTGTTATGTGTCATCTAGTCACTTGTAACTCATAGCGACCCTATGCACAACAGCCCTAAACTCTGCTCTATCCTGTGCCAATCGCACCATCTCTGACACTCCCATCCTGATAACCCCAGTCACTGAATCAATCCACCTCGTATAGGGCCTTCCCCTCCTGCGCTGTCTCTCCACCCTACTGGTCCCTCCTTACAGCATGTCCAAAGTAAGTCAGACGAAGCCCCAGAATCCTTGCCTCCAAGGAGCAGCCCAGTTTAACCCTCTCCTGGATGAATCTGTTTGTTTTCCTAGCAGTCCATGGTACATCCAGTACTCTTCTCCAGCACCACAGCTCAAAGGCATCAATTCTCCTTCTATCCTCCTTAGTCATTGTCCAATTCTCTGATGCATAACAAGTGATTGCAACGACCATGGCCTGTATCAGACCCACCTTAGTCTCCAGAGAGACACTATTGCTCTTCAGTACTTTGGAGAGGTCCCTAACAGCAGACTTTCCCATCACAATTCGTCTTTTAATTTCCTGGCTGCTGGTGCCGAGAGTGTTGACTGTGGAGCCAAGCAGACTAAAGCTGTGAACAATAACAATCTCTTCACCATCCATCCTGATGCTGCCAATTGGTCCAGTGGTGAGAATCTTTGGCTTCTTGACATTGAACCTCAATCCATATTGGAGGCTGCAGTCCTTGATCCTCTGCAGCAAGTGCTTCAGGTCCTCCTCAGTTTCAGCGAGCAGGGTTGTGTCATCTGCATATCACAGATTGTTGATAGATCTTCCACAAATCTTGACCCCACATTTCTCCTCATAGAGCCCAGCCTCTCAGATAATCTTTTCTGCATATAGATTGAAAAGGTATGGAGATAGGACACATCCCTGACGTACACAATTCCCAGTTTTGAACTATGCAGTGTTTCCAGATTTACTAGAGCAGAGGCCCTTTTTCTGTTGTTAGAACACTGATGGTGTGGAGTAGAGCCAGAGAGGACCAAGGTGGCTCAAGGTTGGATACGGGCTTTGTGGTGCTTTCCTGTCTCTTGTATTTGGCTAAGGGAAATGGGGAGCTGGGGTGCTGGAAGCTGGTAGGCACACTCCCAGCCAGCGCTGTATTTGAGAGTCACCCTGCAGCAGATGTCTATTCTTGGCCGGGACAATTAGCCTCAAAGTGGAAAGTCAGCAGGCGGAGGACAGGGCCTTCACGCTGGGCAGGACATGACTGATGTGCATTTGGTACAGTTTTTGGCTGTAAGAGAGTGAAGACTGCTAATTAGGTGAGCTAACACTACCTGGGGATTTAGTTGATCTAGGTGGCAGTGAAAAGAAGCAGAGCTTGTGGTAGGAAATTTTGATGTGAGGGTTTTGATGCTGCCATTTTGACATAGGCTTGACAGAAGGAAAAACAAAACCACGCTTAACAGTTTTTTATTACTAAGTAATGTGCACAACAGATGTTAGTGACCCTGATCCCACCCCTGAACGTCACCCTCTGCTGTGAGCTATAGTCAGGCCAAAGGTGGAAAAGGTTTGAAAAAAGTGTAGGATGTTATTGTTGTTGTTATGTGCCACCGAGTTGACTGTGACTCATAGTTACCCTGTGGACAACAAAGCTAAACTTTGCCCTCTCGTGTGCCGTCCTCACCATCTCTGACATACACGAGCCCATTACTAAAGTCACCATGTCAGTCCATCTTGTTGAGTGTCTTCCTGTCTTAAATTGACCTTTCCAGGCAGGCTGTCTTTCTCCAAAGACTGGCCTCTCCTAAAACATACCCCCAAATACCCAAATATGTTAGACAAAGTTTTGTCATCCTTGCTTCCAAGGAGCACTCTGGTTTCCCTTTCTCTAAGTGAAGAACTGTTCTCTTTTCAATCAATGGGATATTCAGTACTCTTCTCCAATATTATGGCCCAAAGGCATCTATTCTTCTTCTGCTATTCTTAATCACTGTCCAACTTTCAGATGCATTGCAAGTAATCGAAAAGACCATACTTTAATCAGGCACACCATAGTCTCTAAATTGAAATCATTGCTCTTTAACATCTTAGTGAGGTCCTTGACAGCAGATTTATCCAACATAATACATATTTTCTTTTCTTAACTGCTGGTACCAATGGTGTTAATTTTGGATCCAAGTAAGATTAAATCATTGGCAATTTCAATCTGTCCTCCATCTGTCATGATTTTCCTATGGGTCTGGTGATGAAGATTTTTATCTTCTTGATATTGAGATGTAATCCATATTAAAAGCTGTGTTGTAGTGATGTTGTTAAGTAAGAGCCATTGAGTTGTAGATGAGAGTCTCTTCTTCTCTGACCTTCCACTTCTCTCAGCATGATGTCATTTCCCAAGGACTGGAACCTTAAACTGTTGTTTATTGCTAAGTGGAATCAAGTCATAGATGACTCATAGCTACCCTATGAATGAAAGACCTGAACACTTGTATAACTTTCATAATTTCTCTCAGTTCATAGAATTTCCGGAGGCAAGCTATTTCAGAAGTGGATGCCACTCCTGCTTCCAAGCCTGTTTTAATCGGGGAGCTCCACCAAACACTGTCCACCATGGGTAACAATTATCGCTTTAGACACATCAGTGTCACAGTGTTTAGCATCACAGCAACCACAAGTTACCTCTGTACAGCAAATGGACAGACCAGTGCAATACCACTTAGAATATTTGACCAAAAACAATTAAAACCAGGCCTGAGGGCTGCAGATTAAAATCACCCACCTTTGGCTTGGTAACATAACTTTCTATCCATTAGGCCAGCAGAGCTCTCTCTATGACTCACAGCAATTCTATGAACACCAGGTCTAACCCTTGCCCTGTCCTATGCCATCCCCACAATCCCAGACATGCTCGAGCCCATTGCTACAGTCCATTCTGTAACAATCCACCTGTCGAGGATCTTCTTTTCTTCTCTGACCTTCCACTTATCTCAGTATAATATCATTTACCAAGGACTAGAACCATTGAAAGTTGTAGACTTTAATATTCTGCAGCAAGAGCTTCAAGTCCTCTTCACTTTCAGCAAGCAAGGCTATGTCATCTGTATAATGCTGGTGGTTGATGAGTATTCCTTCAATCCTGATGTCACAGTTTTCTTCATAAAGTCCGGCTTCTCATATGATTTGCTCAGCATACAGACTGAATAGGTTTGGAGAAAGGATACAGCCCTGATGCACACCTCTCCCAATTTTAATCAAACAAACAAAAATTCTCTTGCTCTGTTCAGACAACAGCCTCTGGGTATAGGTTTTGTATAGGCACATTTAAGCGTTCTGGAATTCCTGTTCTTCTCAACGCTAGTCATAATTTGTTGTGATCCACACAGTCTATTAGGTAGGCATAATAGCTGGTAATAAAATATAAGTTGAAAACAATAAATTTCACTATTTCAGCATAGTTGTGTACGTCACATACTGAAACTTACTGTCTGTGAGTTGATTCTGACTCCTAAGTGACCCTCCACTGGGTTTCTGAGGCTGAAAATTGCAAAGAAATGAGACTGTTGATCTTTCTTTTGTGGAGTCCCTCATGGGTTTGAATGTCTGCAGATATGCCGACTGCACATCACTATGGACTACACTATCGCTATGTCAAATAGCCGCTCAAAACAGAGTTCATGGATAAATGTGGAGCTCGCCAGTCTTTTGTCTGGTATGGATCAGCAGAAGGCACTCAAATGTGACCAGAAAAATGGGCTTCTGAACAGGGTGCTGGGCGTGAGGTGTCATTGAGTGGAGTTGATCCCAATTCAGAGACCCCATGTGCCTGAGTGTTTTTCTTGCCTGTAATGGTTATGGGAGCTGTGGTTTTAAGGGTTTATTGTTCAAAATAGCTTTCCTAGCCACTGACTTTCCCTTTGCTATATAGGTGGGCAGGAATAGAGTGGGTGTGAATAGAGTGTGTTATCCTAGCCACAACACGATTGGCTAGTCATGCCATTAACTGGAGCAGATTCAGTAGCAGATTTTGAGACTCTTACCACTAGCAAGGAAGAAGGAGGCATGTGGTTCATGCCCTTCAGAGTCAGAGATTCTTGTGCCAGATGGACCTATAGCAGCAGCAGCCGCAGCAGCCATGTTAAAAGCAAAGAACCAGAGACCTGATAGAGCAGGTCTTGGGACTATCCCATGGAACTAGAGCTCAGAGCCTTTACCTAAGTTTGTTTGAGGGCTAGAGGTGGGAATGGGGTGGGGTAGGGAAGCCATAATTGGCAGGACAATGGGTTTTGTGACATTTGCCTAAAGTGGCAAGGCTGAAGGCAGAGGTGCTTTTGAGTACATTTCAGAAACTGTCCTGATTGAGTTTTATGATCTGCTACCAACCAGAATAATAGCTTTTTGACTTCTCTAATATGGTTATCTCCATATTTGTTCCCATTCCCAAGAAAGGTGAGCAAATAGAATGTGGAAATTATCAAACAATATTATCACATGCAATCAAAATATTGCTGAAGATCATTCAAAAATGGCTAGAATAGTACATCTAGAAATACCAGACATTCAAGCTGGATTTAGAGGAGACTCTGGCACTAAAGATACCATAGCTGATGTCAGATGGATCCTGGTTGAAAGCAAATACCATAAAATTGTTATTTGTGCTTTCTTGACTATACAAAGCCATTTGACTGTGTGAATCATAGCAAATTGTGGCTAACATTGAGAAGAATGGGAATCCCAGAATACTTAATTGTGCTTGTTTGAAACCCATGCCTAGACCAAGAAGCTATTGTGCGAACAGCTAGGGAACACTACATGGTTTAAAATTAAGAAAGGTATATGTCAGCGTTGTAGCCTCTCATCTGTATGCTGAGCAAATTACTTGAGAACCTGGACTCTGTAGAAGAATGTGACATCAGAATTAGAGGAATACTTACCAATAACCTTTTGTATGTAGATGACACAACTTTACTGGCTGAAAGTAAGGAGGACTTGAAGTGCTTGCTGGGAGTCAGATACTGCAGTCTTCAATATGGACTGCATCTAAACATCAAGAAAACAAAAATCCTTGCCACTGGACCAATAGACAACATCATGATACATGGAGAAAAGATTGAAACTGTCAATGACTTCATTTTACTTGAATCCACAATCAGTACACTCAGTACCAGCAGTCAGGAGATCAGGAGACATATTGCACTGGGAAAGTCTGCAGTAAGGGGCCTCTCCAAATTATTAAAGAGCAATGATGTCAGTTTGAAGACTAAGGTGCACCCAAGGTTCAGGGCATGGCATTTTTGTTACTTGTTCTGCATCTGAGACCTAAACAAATAAAGATTACAGAAGAATTGATGCATTTGAACTGTGGTCTTTGAGGAGTACTGACTATCCCATGGATTGCCAAAAGAACAAATATTTTGGAGAAGATGCAGCCAGAGTGCTCCTTGATGGCAGAGATGATGAAGCTTCATCTCACATACTTTAGGGATGTTGCTAGGAGAGGTTTTTCCTTGCCGAGGTTCATCATGTTTGGAAAGGTGGGAAGGATGATGATGGAGAGGAAGACCCTCTATGAGACGGACCAACACAGTAACTGTTACAATGGGCTCGAGTGTGTCTGATATTGTAAGGATTGGATTGGGTTCAGATCTATTGTTCATAGGGTCACTATGAGTTGTACTCAACTCGATGGCACTTAACAAAAACAATATGGTTCTGTGTGGTGTGTGAGCGAGCTGTTATAATGGATTTTTTTTTACCCAGTAGAGCAGTAATATTGGTGCTAGGATGAGTGAAAAGAGATGTGGGAGTGTGGGGGACATATCTAACCTCATGGGAATTAGTTTCGTGTTGTGACTGCTGTTGGTAGGGACAGTTCCCCCTTGTGCAGTTGGTGGAGATCAGACACGGCTATTTACAAGCAGCCCTTGCTCTTTTTTACAGGAGCGTATCAGCAGGTGTCATAACTGAGGAGCCTCTGGGAGAGTTCAAGCCACCAACCTTTTAGTTAGAAGCCAAGTGGTTAAAAGTCACGTCACTAAGACTCTTGTAAATGTGACAGAGCCTCAAGATATTAACATCCTGATTTGACTAGAGGGCATGCTGATCTTATTTATGGGGAGGGGAGAATAAAAACCCTATCCTACATCTTGTTTGCTAGTGTTACTCTGTGGCTTTTTTCTCTCGTCTTCTTATTCTTTCAGGGGTGAGCTCATATCTCTAATTACCACCCATTCCTGTGTCTCCCAAGTCTATCTTTGCCTCCCACCTCTGAGTTTGACCCTAGTGTGAGCCCGTCTTAACACATCCTCACCTCAGTGTATGTCTCTACCCTTTCTGTAAGCATCTCCAAGATATTTGCTACCACCTTGGAATTTCTCATTTCACACACCTAATTCTTGTCCTTTCTTTTTTGTCTAAAACATCTGTAAATGTCAGTGCCAGTATTTTGCTGTTTGAAATACTGGTTTCCCCTTGGCTCTAGTGACTACTGTTTTCTGTTTTTCCTTCACTGTTTCCCTGGACTATCACAACATCCTCCAGATCCACCCCCTTGCCTCTGATATATTCCTCTTCTACTCCATTGCCACATTCTGCCCTCCCTGTTCGGTTGGCTGATTTTTGTTGTGTTACTTAGGTCTTATAGACTGACATCCTAGGAATACAGGACCTTCACTATCTGATGCCAGCCTCATGTCCACATTTCCAGTGTGTCCCCTCAGTCTTCTGACTTCCACAAGAGACTCCTGTCAATCTAGGAGTTTGACTGTTCTTAGCTGTTTACCTCCTTTATAGCTTTGTGGTTTATCACCCTCAACTTTTCTGTCCGATGAAACTCACTTGCATTTTAGGATTTCAATCCTGAAGCTACCTTCATCATTAAAAAATAGTCCATCTCATCATTAGGTTCCCAAGTCCTCACTCTTTGTTTAGTAATCAACACTGCATCATGTTTATTCTCCCCTCTTTCCAACTAGTCTAAGGAGCCCTGGTGATGCAATGGTTATGCTCTGAAGCTTCTAGTGTGAAACCATCCAATGACTCTTGGGCAGAGATCTGACTGTCTTTTCTTGTAAAGAACTAAGGCCAGAAATACCTATATGGCTGCTCCACTCTGTAGCACTGGGTCCTGCGAGTCAGAACTGACTCAAGACACCTAACAACAACTACTGACTGGTCTGAAATCATCTTATGGACTGACAGAGTCCCCAGAATCCCAAGAGGTTGATTCTCTTACTAGAGTTTCTCAGAGTCTGTGCCTTAGAGCACTGGCTGTGCTGCATGTTAATATTACACAGTGCTCACTATATGCTGTGCCAGGCATTGCTATACATGCTTTGCATTGAGGTAGGTGTTATCATTATAACCAGTTTATGGGTAAAGATGACTGATTACCTTGTTTAACTTAGTAAATGACAGGGCCAGGAACCAGGCAGTGCTCCTCTAAAGGCCAGCTCATGACCACTCCATTGTATCGCACCCTAGGTTAGTCTGTAACACACACACACACACACACACACTAAATGAATCTGTGGGAAGAGACCTCTCAGGGCCTTTAGCCTGTGACTGTATGTTGAGAATTTCCTAGCGGAGAAATCTATAAATTATGGATTACTCTTATCTTCTTGGTTCCTGAATGCTGTTTTACAGGTTAACGTCTGTAGAATATAATCTGGGAAACCTTGCTTTAGATCAGTGTTACCAAGTTTATTCGATACTGTAAATGATAAAATTTCAAACTGGGATCTGTAATTCTCGAGGGCCATGTATTTGTCACCTTCTTCCACAGCAATCATGGTTGGTTTGTTCTAGTCAACTTGAAGAGGACACTCTCTGTTTTCACCTCAGGAACAGTAAAGCTGACTTGGGAGTCTTCCCTTTTCTGAAGCTTGCTTGGCAGTGAGTAGAACTACAGGCAAGACCAGTAGGTAATCTTCAACATTTTATTGCTACCGAGCTTCAGCTGATAGTAGGCACAATGATGTGTGCTGGAGGGGAGACCTAATGGTAGAATTTTGGTGATGGAATAAATATTCACATGGGAGTCAAGGTGGGTAGAGAGCAAGGCTGTGAGCGTAGGGTTGTGGGGAGTATTGGTCATTGACTGTGGCACTCTTGTTGAGAGTACTGCCTCCTATGCTTTATACCACTCTCCTATTCCCCATCCTCACCTTGCACCCCCTACCATCATTCCTGCATACACTATGGAAAGATTTTCCAATTTTCTTCTCTCCATCCTAGCTTCATTGTAGTTGTTTATGGGAAAGCTCATAGGAGTTGCTTCAGTTCCTAATTTTTATAGAGGTGAGTTTACTAAACGGAACATAATTTTCAGACTGTTCAAGATCATGTTATTATTGATCAGTTAGAAAACCTGACTCTTGAGCAAATAGGACCACTTTTGGTTAGCTTTGTCCCTTGTACTCTGGACTGGAGAAGATATTCGGGAACATTCTTCTGCCCCTATTACTCATTGCACTTAATCTGCACCCAGGAAAGACCTTCACGTTCTAGCTAGAGCTGCCATCTCAAGGATCTTCATTATGTAATCCCATATGGCCGTCATCGGTGGTTTCCTAGCCTTTGTGGGAAGAGTGTATTTGTCTGGACAACTCTACCTCATCCCACCTGTGTCCCAGAGTGCTAATATGCCTTAACTTTTGCCAAGCGACAAACTTTCCCACCATCCTCAGCTCATCCCATCTTTCTCTCCGTTAATGTTTCTTGATTAGTTGTCCTTTAATAGGAAATCCTTTCCTCTAATCCCAGCAAAGCCATCTGACACATCTGTTCAT